TTTTTTTTTTCCTGCTTACGGTAGTGATTATTCATGTGGGCTGCTCTTCTGGTACAAGATTTTTGTTCTTCCTGCTCCACGCTTTTCGCGGCGTGAAGCAATTTCTGTTGGCATATATATAATTATTGAAAGTTTGAAGCCATCAGGGTACAATTTCGATGGCTTCAATTGTGAAAAGTTTCTGGGCAACACCTTCTTTTGCTTTGAATTTGAACAAGAAACGTCATTCTAGATCTCAAATTCAGTGTTCAGCTAGTGGGGATTCGGCTGCTGCTGCATTATCTGTAGAATCTGTTAAAGTGAATAGGATTGTTGATGGAGTATCATCTTCTGTTGTGAAGGAAAAGGAGGAGACGGATAGGCTTTCAGTTGAGGTGGGGCATGATCACAGGGGTTCAAATGTGGAGGAAAAGAAGAGGGAAAAAGTTTCAGACGACGAAAAGTTGGAGCCTTTATGGGATGATGGATATGGAACTCAGAGTGTGAAGGATTATCTTGAATCAGCCAAAGAGATTATTAAGCCGGACGGGGGGCCGCCGAGATGGTTCACCCCAATATCTTGTGGTCCGCCCTTAAAGGATTCGCCAATTCTTCTGTTCTTGCCCGGTAATTATTTGATGCTAAATATGAAAGTTATCGATTAGTAAATTAGCTTGAGAAGATGGATGAACTTGTTTATTCGACATAAGAAATTATTCCAATAATTCCAAGCACAATCATTTTTGCATAGAAGTTTTACATTTTTTAAGTTTTAATTCAATTTTGTACTTCTTGTGCAGGAATGGATGGTCTTGGACTTGGTCTCATTCTGCATCACAAGTCTCTTGGCAAGTAAGTCCCGGATATCTCTTTGCTGAGATCATACGAACCATAACCCAGTTTTTTCCTTAACACTATGAAAGGTATGGAGTCCTTAATTTTGAGTTCTCTGGCTTGGCTGTTAGTGAAAAAATTGAAAGTCGACAAATTTCTTAGGAGTAATTCTTTTGCCTCGACAGAGAAGCTAATTGTGGTTTCTTTAAATCGTGAAGCTTATGCTGATTGGCTTAAATTATAATCAGTATACATTGAGCTAGATACCATGTTTTAGTGTCAACTCTGATTATTATTATATTGTTTGTACTTATTTAGCTTATTATTCTTCTCTGGTCTCAGGGTCTTTCAAGTTCGGTGCATGCATGTTCCTGTGCAGGATCGAACACCGTTTGAAGGTCTTCCTTTTGATTGCTTAAAAAAAAATTATGTTTCTTTATTCAGCCCAAGAGCTTAATCTAAAAGGAAGTTACACCAAAAAAAAAAAAAAGGATACCGAATGCAATCATTTATTCATTCTTGTCTGTCTTTGCATATTTTGCTACACATTTAACCAGCACTATAACTTTCACAATATATGGACTAATTGAATGATAGTCTGTGTTTACTTCAGTCTTGGTAGAATGGGTCGAAAAGACTCTGAGGTCCGAGCATTCTTCAGCCCCAAAGAGACCCATTTATATCGTGGGAGACTCACTCGGTGGATGCTTAGCACTTGCAGTTGCAGCTCGTAATCCTAATATTGACCTTGTGGTGATATTAGCTAATCCAGGTGTGCTTTTCAAACTATAATCTGTATAATCTCTCGAGGAGTCTTTTGCAGAGATGCCTCTGATCGGTATGTGGGGATGTTAACTGATTGTACGCTCCTTTCAGCAACTTCGTTTGGCAGGTCACAACTGCAACCTTTGCTGCCTCTGTTGGAGGCCTTGCCTAATGAACTCCATACCACCGTTCCGTATCTTCTAAGCTTTGTTATGGGTATACTTTCTGCTACTTTAAATCTTAATGATGCCTTGATAATTTGGACATTTTTCTTTATTCTCTATTCTAAACCATAATGATTGTTATTGCCTATGAAGTTCAGCAAATTTGACTTTCTCACTTGGTTCTTTCCTGCAACTTCTCATTCTTACATTCTCGAGTATAATTATTTTTGAGAACTTGCAAAAGATTGTGATCTGCACTATTGATTATTAGTCTTTGATTAAAATTTAGGTGTTCAACTGGAAGATATGTCACGCCACTAGCATTAGTTGCTATGTTAATCCCCATAACTTAGTGATTGTAGACAATCTAAACATTGAAATACATAATTTGCTTATACAATAGAAAAAAAAGTGGTGAAGGAATTACACGTGCTTATCGCCATCTAAGGTCATTTATGGTGCCTAACAACTAATCTCTGCTCCCAGGATGTTTGCCCTTGCTGAAATTGTTACTACTAAATTAGACATAATTCCTGAAGTACACTGCCTTCAAAAGAAATGACTACTTTTTCTTACTATAAATCTAAAGCGAAAGAATTATCAATCCCTGCTTGCTTTCTTCTGTAGTAAGGAAAAGTTCCCAATGCAGGAACCATGATGCTTTTCTCCTTATGTTTTTCCCTTATCATTTTTCTGATACTAGTCAAGATTACTTTTTGCCCCTTAAAAATTTCTTCATTAACAGCCTTTGCATCTAATGCCTTCCTTTATGCTTAACAGAGTTGTGTTAGCGCTATATTGGTAATAAGTGAGTCTTAGATGATTTACTGGAGGTTTGAAAACTGGCTTCTATTTAAGCTGTAGATTCTATGTTTTCAACGTGTACCGTATTTTTAGATGATTTATGGGTTGCGATAATGGAGCTGATTGGTCGAAACGTTTCTCTTTTTTCTCTAATCACCTTTATGTTATTGTCATTATCTGCAACCAACATGTTGGAGCTCTATGTTGTATTTTTCACTTATTTTTTATGCATTCTATATTTTTGCTGCTTCAATTTATTTACACCCCGTACTAAGTCATCGTAACAATCTGTATAACTTTGGCAATCTTAGTTTTTTTCCTTCTTCTACATGTGGAACTACTTAATAGAATCATTGTACTTATTTACACCAGGTGATCCAGTGAAGATGGCAACAGCTAATATTGACTCAATGCTGCCTCCCACGAAATATTTTGAGCAGTTATCTGGGAACCTTACTGGTCTGCTACCACGTCTTTCTGTAAGGATATTCTTACACTGTTAGATTTTCTTGATTTTTGTATTTTGAACAAAAAACATCCGTTTACGGTAGAATGCTTAATTTCTCAATGTGTGGTGTATACCCTTCATCCACTTATATTCCAGTACGTTATGTGAAGTTTAGGAAAAATGACATGAATGGAGAGATAAATATTACTGATACTAATACTAAAGGAGAAAAAAGAGAGTTATAGCTGAGAATGTTTGTACCCGTTTAGGCTTTTACGTAAAATTATGTGTTCCTTTTGTTTCCCGAGCCTAGACTGCTATTACCTGATGAACTATATTGACCATCTATTCTGCGGTATCTACTTGGAGTAACATTATAATTGATATAAGAGAGTTGTTGAAGAAAGAGAAAGAAATGGAGATTTTAGCATATAATGACCTGTCCCATAGACATCCTGACCATTGCAGCATTTACTCTTAACCATTTAGATGAAAAAAGCTTGCTATAATTTCTCTTACATCATTTGTGGTTTAAAAATATTGTGTGGTTCAATATTTGCACAGTTGAAGTACTCATTCTTTATTTGAAATGTTTAGGGGTTGTCTGATATCATACCTAAGAAAACTCTTCTTTGGAAACTCAAGCTGCTCAAGTCTGCTGCGGCATATGCTAATTCTCGTCTTCATGCCATTAAAGCTGAAGTACTCGTTCTTGCTAGGTCTCTCCTCGTTTCTGACACATATAGAATACTTTCAATGCTTTTCTTTGTAATGCCAGGGGAGTGTTGGAACTTAACATACTATCTTTGCCTCCCAAATAGTTTATAACCTGGGCAGTCTAATCATGTCCTGTTTATTTGATAAAGATTATTCAACAATGACAACGTAAAAGATAGATGATAATTTTATGTAGTCGTGGAGAGAAGTAGAGATCAATTGACAACAAAGTTTCTTTTTTTATTCGTGGAAGAAATGCTCACTGTCACTAAGAGGAATTGTAATGATGCATTTGGTAACATCTAATCTCATGTCATTTAAGCCATTGTATTTAGAGAAAAATATACCCTATATAAATGTGCACATTTTTGTTAGTTATTTCCCAATGTTGACATAGACATGGCATATATGGAGATTGTTATCATCAAGGCCGTTGGAGTTTCATATAGAGTATAAATATTCTTTTTATGCTTACTGGGAAAACCATATTTTACATCCCTAGATGATGATATAAGTCATATTTTACCATGTTCATTGCCTTTAGTCTAGTGTAAGCATGCACACACACACACACACACACACACACACACACATATATATTTTTCCCCCATCTTTCTGTGGTTGACTTGAAGCACTTGAGAGTCACAAATAGATTGGTTTTATTCCTAACATTGTGGGAATGACGATTCATGCATATCAGTGGCAAGGATAACATGCTTCCCAGTAAAGATGAAGCTTGGAGACTTTCACGTTCAATACAGAATTGCAAAATGCGATACTTCAAGGACAATGGGCATACCATACTATTGGTAGGTGAGAATTTTCCCCATGCATCGATGCCTCTAGAGTTCTAATAGCTCTAACTAGGTCACTGTTTTAATGGCGAGCTTTGCCTTTTGTAAACAAAATTTAACTCTTAGGATCCTATATAGATTTATTCTTCAAATGTCGGACCTTTCGTAATATTATATGTCAGATAGTTATGTATCTACCTTTTGAAAATAGCATATGATTTAACATATTCACATAGTTTTACCGTGATACCTAGCCCCCGTTTAG